AGCCCGCCCTTCTGGTGGGGCAGCCACTCCTCCCAGTTTGGTGTCGGCAGCAAACTTGCTGAGATGACATTCCATCTCTTCCTCCAGGTCCTTGATGAATATATTGAATAGGGCTGGACCCAGCACTGACCCTTGAGGGACACCACTAGCCGCAGGCCACTTAGCTTACTGAAAGGAGAAGCATCTCTGTTGTTTAGTTTTTTCAGTACTATCCATCCCATATTTTCAAGGACTCTGCCCTTAGGCAGCGAGTTTGGGATCTGAGCTGCCTCCTTTTCTAAAATAAGCAGATTTTATTATTTCATTTCTGAAATGACAGTGGTGTGGCAGCATCTTCTGTTAGGCGTGCTAGTGTCAGTGCCATTAAATAAAATACACAGGCTCCCTGTGCCAGTGGAGTAACGCCTGTAAATTGCCAGTAATGGCAACTGAAATGATTCTCATACGAGAAATTTCCTTCTGCTGAAAAGGTATGTACTTCTCTCCTCTGTCCCCCACCGAGTCGGTGTTTGCGATCTCTTCCTGTCCCATCAAGGCTGTAGGCCAGACCCTGTGGCAGTACCGAAGGCTCCAGGGCTGGGTGGAGTGCGAGTCCTGCCTTGAATTTGTTCTGGAGTTTGAGGAGTGGTAAGAAAAACCTAGAACCCTCAGACGAGTGTTAAGTGTTTTAAACTCAAAAATAGCCAAGCAAACTTGGTTTGAGAATTTTAAAAACCATGTTTGTCTGCTGTGACCTTGTACGCCAGGTTTATCTCTAGCGAACGGTCATGGTATTACACCCCAGAAAATGGGGTTTATCATGGAAATTCTGACAGACCCTTAACTACAGTGGTGCCAGCAGGCACCGCTCTAATATTAAAAGCAATTTTGGGTTCAGCCATGTGTTCACAAACAAGTGACATTTGGGAAGTGCGGTTTTAGATTGAGCCTCCGTGCTCACATTGTTAAGCAGCGTAGCGTGAAATTACTGAACAAGCAGCATAGAGAGCTCTGAGCAGATCTGGGGAGAGAAAGTTGAAGTGTGGAAGGAGATGCCCAATTTATTTCCATTGCACTCGGTGACACTTGTCTGTTCGGAGATTTCCATTTAATATTGCCTAAACCACGCACCGCATACATGTTAATTAACCCTTTGGTACCTTACGATCAGGTTCCCGACGAGGTGTAAGTGCTGTTACACAGGAGGTGCAAAAGGTTTGTTTAAATCTCAGTTGAAGTTAAACAGGGATTTAATGAAATACCAGCTGACTGCGGACACTTGAGCTGCCTGCACCTTTGTGGAGAGATAATTTGTGGAGAGAGATGTCGTGGAGTGTGTTGGGTTTTTTTTTTTTGGTTAACTACTGCAGGTTTACTCAATTTAAAAAACGGCGTTATTGATTTCTGCGCTCTCAGGAACAATCAGATTCCCCTTTTCCACATCAGAGCAGGTTATTTTTTTTCTCGTTATGTACTCGTTTATGAAGTTCTTGGAAACTCTTGGCTGGATGGCACTCTGCAGGGACACCCTCTTACTGCACTGGAGCCAGCTGGCTGGGAGGGGATTCTTCTCCTTCCTGCAGGTTAACAATACGGCTCTGTTGTCCTACCACTCCTCGTGAGATCGGTAGCGAGATAAGGTTCAAAATTAGCCAAGTTGTAATGTTCTCTTTGACATTTTCCAGGGGATGAAATTGGGATTCTGCTCTACTGAGAGCGATATATGTCAGTGGCTTATGTAGGAGAGAGCTCACATCGGAAGTAACGGCTCACCTTGGAGTAACATAGACGGAGCCGTGCTAATTGCCTGCCAGATGGATGAGGGGTTCTGCTAACCACAGCAGAACCTGCCTGGGCTCTAAAGATACGTAATAACCAGACTGAAGTTTAAAGATCAGCTTCTGAGACACGGGTTCTGTTCTAATTGTAGAACAAGCATCAGCATTTGCAAAAAAAAGCACCGGCTGCAGGGTTGTGTAGGAAACTAATAGTGGGTAAATCTGCTTGTATCTGTGTAAACTAGTAACCAGGATGAACAGATGCTTAAAAATTCCAGGGGAAGTTGGTTTGGTGAATACTCAAGTGAATAAACTAGCTGTCCTGTGTGGTTCAGGGCTGTTTGAGAACCTAGTGTGGGGTTTGGAGCCTCTCCCAGAGCTGCTTAGCAGAAGCTGCTGTGAAGGGCCTGGAAGGGTGTATGTAACGATAACCAGGGCGTGATGCTGCGGCACATTGTTCGGTGGTAGTTGTAACCATTGCAGACAGGTAGCCTCTTGCTGTAAGAACGTATTGACCAAAACGTCTTTATGAACTAAACGTAGGGCCAACACAGAGATTTGTGTCTGTATGGGATGGCTCTGGTGTCTGCTCAGCATGCCCCAGGCTCAGGTGGGCAGTGAGGGCTTTTGGCACGTGGGTTGCCACAAAGG